GCTTTGGGTTGGGAAGAATGCCACATTAACTTTGAGACGAAGTACATATCCCTTAGCCAGAGTGATTACCTAATAGCGTTATCTGGCTCTCATAGCACAATGCAGTTACTACCTAGAATCGTCACCACAAATCACCCTCCTTGTTATCGCACTGAATACCCGAGGGTCCTCCGACACTTGCAATGGCCCTCTCTACGCATCCCGCTTTGATGGTTATTGGCAAGGTAAAAGTAAACCTATGCCGCGCAGTCCAACCGTCACCTGTCTCAACTTCAATCGCGCTCGAATGCCAGTCCGTCATTGCTCCACAGCCCTTTTCTTCACTCTTGAGCTTTTTCCCATCGTCATCAATCCAGCTATAGCCGTTTGCGACAATGGTCACTGTGTAGAAGAGAGGAACGGCAAGTCCATCCTCAACTAGCTCGCAGGCAGCTTGCGGCTCTGGCGCGGGACCTTGCTCGCAGTTGGGAGAGTGGCAGGGGTAGTGAGTGCAAACCATGCCATCGGCGTCTGTTGTTGTGGTTGCATCGTCTCTGCAGTCGGGCATGCATGCAACCTATCGTACGTGTTAGATCACTTCCTCATGATTTCCATAGTGGGACTACTCACAACACCGCCTTTTGCCGTAAAGGCGAACCGTTTCACATTAATATCTGATGCTTTGAACAGTAGCTCAACATAAGTGCCACCTGGAGTTATTAGTATTGTCTAGAAGCATGGGAGTAACGAGTATCTTACTGGAATTATCGGGAACTTTCCACTTGATCTCAAGGTCTTTCCCGGCACCTCCACTCTCGATGCTATCGTCATCATCATTTCCAACCTTCCAACTCTTCACGGCCTCTTTGACATTCTCATCGGCAATTACAAACTCCCAATCCGACCCTTTATCATCCGAGACAGGGATAAAGAACTTTAGTGGGCCGCCCTGAGTTGGGATTGCTGCATGAGCTGTCGCCGAGTATGTTTCGTAACCTGCATCGCAGAATGGTGTTATCTCTGGTGTCGTCATGGTAACAGCTGCTCTGTTGATCCAAGATGCACAACTGGGCTTCTCAACACACGCCACTCGGTTACCAGAGCCCCCGCATTCTGTATAAGTGGCCGTTGAAACACAAGAGAGGCCAGACGATGTAGGATCACCAATGGAAGGAGCTTGGGTGAGTGTGGGGAAGGACTCGGTAGTCGCTTCGGTTGTTGTGACTCGGGATGTAGGGGACGTGAATCTGCCAAACTTCCTGTCAAGTCTAGCTTGTGCTGCATCTGCTATGTCATTGAGCTGCGCTTCTGCATACTCATCGACGTTCCATTCCTCCCATGTGAGCCTGATGGCTGTCACGGTAGGGGTCTCCGTGCTAACTGTAGTTGTTCTGGAGATGGTTCTTGAGGAATCCTCTCCTTTTACGTCGCAACCGTAAATGGTGCCGCAAGTTGAAATAGTACTCTGTGCTGTTGTAGACGTAATAGTCCCATCAACCGAAACCCCGTAAGAAGTTGTGGTGATGCACATCTCAGCTGTCTCAGTCTTACAGTCGTCGGGCTTGCTGGAGAATGTTGGGTTGCCGGCGGGATCGATACTAAGATATGTTTATCAGTCTGACATACCAGGAGCGAAGAGGTCTTGCCGGCTACATACGTGACACCAGGCCAAGGGATGGACCCCGTGATGTCCACCTTGATAGGTGCGGTGGGGTCGATCTTGATAATCGGAGGGGGACCACTAGAGAGGTTAGTTTTGATTCACGTTGGCAGTTTTCATGCTATGGGTGCTTTTGACGTACGGTGGATGAGTTCCAGGAGGTAGTACGAAGCTCCATCCGCCAATGGGAGCGAGGCATAGATCAAAGAACCACATGTCGCAGGGAATCTTGATACCATCATCGCTTCTCTCTGGGTCGGGTACTGGCGTTGTGATTGGGATAATGACCGGGACGACTCCAGCCGTCTCAGAGGACTCTGGAGCCTTTGTGATATCATTATTACTATGATTGGGGAGGGTCGTAACCTGACTATCGGGTAATGTGGTTATGGGATTGGCGGTCGACGCAGGAGCTGCAGTAAGTCGTTCTTTGGTGACAGGAGAAGTAGGAAGACTATCGCTTGGCTTGGTCGCCTCTGCATGACTTGACTGCTCAGTGTCTGGGACGGGGTCGATCGATGTCGGTGGAACAGATGGAATAGAACTGGGGTCCTGGCTTTGATGTTCACTATCAGTTGCACCTTGAGATGAACGAAGGGAATCTAGTGTCCCGGTTGCGAAAGGTGCCGTGATGGGAGTGTCTGTTCCGGTGAGTGCCGTCGAGAAAGTGCCAGTAGGAATTGAGATGGATGTAGGAGTTTCATTTACGGGCAGAGTTAGGTCTGAAGTGGAAGCCGTGGGACCACCGCCGTTAGTACTGGGTGTGACTATGGTAGTGATGCTCCTGTCATTGCCCCCGAGAGGGTCAGTGATAAGCTTGTGGGCAGTCTCGGAGAGATCTGTTCCTGGCGAGAGAGGATTGGTGGAAGGAATGGTGGTCACCAGGCCACCTGGTAAAGTGGTGGCAGAGGCAGGCTCAGATGAGATGGGAACAATGTGCGTGTTCGATATGGTGGTATCTCCATCTGGGCTATCACGGCTAGCATCTGATGACTTCTCGGGCTGGCTATTGGTAATCGTTGAAACATAACCAGTACCGTCGCCAGAGGTGGAAGCAGGGGTGACGCGGTTACTTGGCAATGTCAAGACTGGGGGCCCTGCTGTGATAAACACATGTGATGATATGGAGGACACCTTGGTGCGCTCTGATAGCCATCGTTCTGAAGTGGTTGTATCGGGAAGGGGTTGATGGTTCGTGGAGGGTTTGCCCGAGATATTACCATCAACTGTTGGAGACGACAATTCAGGTTTACGGAGAGTGATGATGGTGGTTGGGTCAGAAATAGATGGAAGCGGAGGTCCACACATTCCATTGGCGCCGCAGGTCCAGCCCTCTGGACAGCAGCCCTCACGACAACAAGCACTCTCTGGGAGACTGTAAGCCAACGTCAGTTACGAGGTAGTCAATCTTACTTGGGCCACAAATATGCTCTAGCCATCCGTCTCCAGGAGGACAGCAGCTTTCGCCTTGCAGAAGAACGCGGCAGTTGCCAGTACACAAGCAAGACCCACCGGGGCATGGTGACCTAACTGGTGAGCTTGACACTGACACCACCGGGAGGGCAAGGAACAACAACCACTGTGCCGCTTGGATCCTCATAGTTGAAAAGGGTGAATAAATTCAGACAAGTGAGAGCGAGGGAGAAGCTCTGAGAAAAGTATATGTCTCCCAGTTCTCAAACAGAAAATATCGATGTACGAGATAGTAGAAGACTGAACTGGAAGATAGTGAATTGGGGGCTTCTATGGCCGTGCGATACTGCCATATAAGATTGAGATCTCAAAATATGCACATGGGGAGCTGGATGAGTATCTACAGATGAGGAAAACTCCGATATTCTATAATTATCACAATGCCAAGTTATTATTAGAGCACGATTATCTTCAAGGCAATTTACGCAACTAAAGCAACAGCATCTTTGAAACGCCTGGCGCATATACGAAGTTGACCTCGGCATGGAATAGATCCTACTGAACAATTGACGCGCGACATGTATGGCGGCGCCAAGACAGACGGCAAGGCAGTGGCAGCTTCAACCTGCCCTCAAGAGGACCCAATTGGTTGTTTGGATAAGCCTCAATTGCGGTATTAATATATTGTGATGCAGGCATTATAATACTCTGTTGGCTTTGATGAATATGGTCTGGTGATGGGGCCAACAGCTACATCATGCAAGCGGTAATACCATGACAATGGGGGGCCATTTCTTTTTTCTTTTTGAGTCATACAATATACTCTCGATATTTGGGTTACAGCTCGAGGCTGAGCTGCAGGAAGGATTGTTTCAAATGATTTTTTCTCTCAGGACCAACACAGTGGATGACCAACATACAGTAGCAGTACTGGTGCTTTCTATAATTGCATCACCTGTTGGACCTATTCTAGCCAATGCGGTTCGGCGTTGTTGGCCCCCATAACCCCTGTCATAACTTTATGTGCTGAGTGTTTCCACTGACCGCAGGCGCTTAGGCGACCAAGACGCTGATCATTCGACATGCCATACACCACCTTCTAAATCCTTGTTCACGCTAGTGCTCAGACCTCTGGGACCAACACGCAAGAAAAATACGGACGATGCCTTCGCGTACATTCTTGCAATTTGCAATGAGTCCTGCAGGTAAGAGCATGGTTAGCACTTTAGCAGAACTTCGATTTCCTGGGTCCCAGTACCTTTCAACCACCATTTCACTCAATGAACTGCATATAATCGTTCACTCGCCTTCCTCAAATGTCTGCTAACATATCTTTCCATCATTGTTACTGCAAGACTCAATCACTCTTACTTAGCAATGTAGCTCCCATCAACCAATCTTTGGCCTGATCCTATCATCCTCGCCATCTCCCGTCATGGTTTGGTTACGTCCAAATATCTTTTCCTACAGAGCTTTACTGTTTTTACTTCTCGCTCAATACTCCCTCGGCTCAATTGACTCTGTCTTTAACGTTAAACAAGGCGGTGTTGGAGTCGGTGGATGTAGTTCTTACAAGGGCAAACTCAACCGATGGTGAACAGATGCCAGAAAGCTCGTCGACGCTGCCCTCTTGTATGCGGAAGATGACAGCGTTGATGGATGCGAATACCTGTACACCTTTTTTGCATTAGACCCCCCTCCCGCCGATGACGAGTATAGAACAACAGTACGCAGTATGTTCTCAATCCCCCAATCACACAATACTCTAGGTAGCCAGTTACTGATTCATTCCAATAGCTAGGTTACGGCTGGTCAAGAGACTTATCGATGGCGAATTAGAACTGCCAACCGGTAAGCCCTGGTAATTCTGCTCGAGTAAGTGGTTGGAGCGTAAGTATGTGTTGTCCCTGCTGAGTTACTATTTTAATAACGTGGTCTACGTCTAGGTATGGACTGGGATGACGTGGCCTACGATAAGAAGACAGGCAGCAAGTTCACAGGTGATGACGCCAAGAAGGTACGAGATGTAGTTGATGAACCAACTCCGCCTACAGATGAAGCAAACCAGCCAGAAGGTGCGTAGCCAGGTGCCAGGAACACTCTACTTTCCCTTATAATCTGTCTGACTCACGTTTCCTCAGAGTTCCCATTTTGGTCCTCGGATATCAGAGAATACCTGATAGATGAGGCCGATGACTGTTGCTCGAAGAAGGTCGATGGAGCCATCCAGAACTTTGGGGCTACTCATGAGGGTCTCTTGCAGACGTGGAAAACAGTTACCATCTGTGTCAGCAACTTGGGATGGAATGCTAAAAATGACTATCTGCGCCTTGGAGCAATTCAGAAGGAGGGCAAAAGTATTGTGGAATATAGAGCACAGTTCATGACATCATTCCACGAGCTCTTCCATGTTGTCCTAGGGAATGCAAAAACCGAGGAGCATGAAAAAAGCTGTAGGTTCAAAATCATTGCATGATTGAATGGACTAACGAGTCATTAGATGAACTGGGGTATACTGCAAACCCTAGGAAAAAGGAAGGTGAGAACCCTGGCGATGAGGATCAAGATATCATCTCCACGCAAGAGGCCTAGTACAACCACGAATCCTACACATTATATGCTCTTGCTTGTCTTCTTGGACAGAGAAATGAGCGTTTCACGTTCGCTAGTACAAGGTCAGAGCTCAAAAAGACGGAAGATCCAAAGGTTGAAGATAAGGGCGATGGAGGTTCAGGCGGCGCTGGCCATCGAAAGAGGCTGCTGAGGGTTTGACTTTGTTTGACCTTCGAAGGATGATATTGTATTACATATCATACTACACTATTGAAGATTCATTTTGAATTGTTACACAAAACAGGTAATGCTCGCAGTGCGTGCCTTATTTGATGGGTGACCATAAGAAGAGTTACAGGACATCTTTTTGAAGACAGACCTGCTTCCTGCACGATAGGCTGTAATAAGACACCGCATTCAATTTACTAGCGATCTATGCCCTTGATTCTGACCAGGCTATAAATAGGAGAAAAAAACCAGGAAGAAAGATATTCCGGGTAAAGCCTCCACCAACGTGGTGTCATCTGCATGTCACTTTTCTTAGTGCACAGGAAAACCTTCATCTTCAACATTGATGTAGAATAACAAGGCATGGCAGATAATAAGCCGCACTTTGGAAAAATCCCCGCAGTAAGAATATTGTTCACGACAGCATTACGGGTAGCGGAAAGCTAACTACATACTGCAAGTGTGACTATTGCCGGAGTAAAAAGCTCAGAGTATGTCACTACCTCGGTTCCTTCGAGTGTAGATGCTAACAGACGAAGTGCTCCAAAGAAAGGCCAATATGCATGAGCTGTGCGCGGTCTGGTAGGCCTTGTCGTTATAGTGAGAGGACACAAAGAACTCCTCTTACGCGAGAGTAATTATTTGGCTGAACCCTTGTAACTTCCGAGCTGACCCCTCCTTTCAGCTATCTGACTAGAGTTGAGAGACGCCTCGCAAACGTGGAACGATTGTTCCACCAGCTTCTCCCTGATGTTGACATCAATCAAGCACTTGCGTCGCGGGGCGTTGAAGTGCCGGCAGACGCCTCCCAACCGGATACATCTGTGTCGCCACCGATAAATCCTTCCTCGCCTGATACTCCAGTTCAGGCCAGCGGTGCCATTTCAGATGCCGTGCCTGCAGAAAGCGATGGTTTTGATTGGCAGGAAGACGTTGATGAGTTGACTGATGGGATGGCGTCGTTATCCGTTGAGCCGAGAGGGGCTGGATACTTAGGTATGTCAGTGAGCGCAGATGGAATTGACACAGAACATTAACTCTCACTAGGACCGACTGCTGGTGTCTTTTTTCTGAGGTCACTGCTCCTCTGGACCGGTCATTCAAGGCCCTTCATTGGTAGTAGCCCCGAGGCTTTAAGACCCTATGCTGGACTAGAATCGTCGTCCCAGCTATCCAACTCAGTCACGTCAAGACAGGTTATTGAACAGTTGGTAAATGGCTATTTTGAGGTCTACCACCGCAGCTATCCTTTCGTACACGAACCCACCTTTCGAGCCCAGCTCCACGAGGTCATTCAGCGGCCAAAACCACGCTCATGGCAGATGTTACTCTATACCATCATGGCACTGGGTGCGTGGTGTCTCGACAACAACAGCACCGAACTCGATGATGAGCTATATCATCTCGCGCTGTCGTTTGGAGATGCGGAGTCCTTATTCGCAAGCGCGGATCTGACGTTTGTTCAAGCTCTCATTCTGTTTAGCAATTTAAGCCAGAAGCGTAATAAGCCCAACACGGGATCTAACTTTCTCGGACTTGCAACACGAATGGCTCTAAGTTTGGGTCTTCATAGAGAGCTTCCCGAGTGGAATATCAGTCTCTTGCAGCGAGAGATGCGCCGTCGTGTTTGGTGGGGGCTGTACATGTTTGACAGTGGTGCTTCAACGACCTTTGGGAGGCCGATCCTTCTCCCAGGTGAAGAGGCGATGGACGTACGGCCAGTTCTTAATATTGATGACGAGGTGTGTAATACCGGGATACAAGGTAAATGCTTTGCTAATGCGTGTAAAGAACCTTACGAGTGGAACAAAGGTCGCTCCAGAAGAAGTAAACAGGCCGACATTGTACTCGGGCATGAAGTACCAGAGCGATCTACATGTCAAGTCCAACTACATCTCCAATCGTCTGCTCTCATCGTCATGCGTGGCACCGGAAGATGCGCTATCCATGGATGCAACGTTAGATAAGTGGTCTGGCACATTACCAGAGTACTTAAGTCTAGATCACCATGTCCCTTCGGCCGAGCCTGCGTTCTACTTCAACAGATCGCGTCTGTGGTGGCGCTTCTGGAACCTCAAGATCATCATCTTCCGCCAGTTATTTCTCAAGCGTGCAATTGGCAAAGCGGATTCTAGCATTACCGTACCAGTCAATGAAGTTGACGGAAAATGCATGAACATTGCGGTACACGCTGCGAGTGCGACGATTGTGTCCATAGATCAGTATACGACAGAGAGGCAGAGAACCAGGCTTGTAACTTGGTACTCAATGTAAGTCATTCCGCACAAGTCGAAGATCGAAGTTGACCTCTCTAGCTATTTCACATTCCACGCTTCCTTAGTCATCGTCCTTGCTATCCTCAGTAACCCAGAATCACCAGATATGCCCAAGTGGCAGGAGGACGTCAACACAGTCCGACGCATCTTCCGACAAGTATTTACAGATAATGAGCTCGCAACTCGCTGCGCCAACATCATCGACGTTATTCTGCCGGACCCTCTATTGGTATCGGGTGATTGGGCAAATGTCCAGCTTGACCCTATGCTGATGGACTTTTCGACATGGCCAGCAGCTTCTGCTGACGAATTTGCCAGTGTTCTTGGCTGGCCTGACTGGGCCAACTTTCCGCAGTGACAGACTTGTTGGGTCCCCTTTTTCGGGGTCATCAGTTTATGATGCGTACATTTGGTTCGATCAGATGGGATCTTATGTAGTATCCGTTCGGTATATCGTTTTCGTTGGCCCGCTGGATCGCAGCTTCTATTGTCGTCTCGATTCCAGCCCTGAGGTGTCGGGATGCCAGCCGTTCCCTAGCTATGTCGACTGGAATATCCACAAACCATCTTGAGCACGAGTTAGCCTGGAATAAAAGCTGATAAATTGCCAACGAGACTCACTTGTCATCCGCCAACGCAGGAATGCGGCTCCAAGGGTCTTGGTCCAAGAGTACGTAGTTGCCTTCGATGATGACAACTTTGGCACGCGAAGATATCTCAATGGCATCGGGGATCGGGTCTTTTCTCGCATGGTCAAAGCCTGGCGCTTTGATGATGGTTTCGGGTTCGTCATATGTCGTCACGGGTGTTTTCCTGAGTAGCACTACGAGATCTACCAAGGCGGTGGCATCGAATGTGAAAGGCGCGCCTCGTCTTCGAAATGCTTCGTCGGGATTGGGGAAGGAAGAGAGAGTCGTGCGAGTATAATGGAACCCGTCCTAACAAGTTGGATGTTAGTGACGTAGTTGGTGCTTAGAGTTAGGGACTCCAGGACATACTGACCATAGGAAGGACTGCGACATCGGAAATACGATTCCTCTTCAGCTCTCTGATCAAAGCATCTGAAATTGTGGTTTTGCCGGATCCTGGTACGCCAGCCAAGGCAATCAAGATTCGTTGTGTTGGACATGACAGTTTCTGCCGGGCCAAAAGACGCTCGACGCGCTGAATGAGCTCTCCTGTTGTCTTGACCAAATCTCCATTCATATTGAGTTAATTTGATATGAGACTTTATTCTCTACGGAATGGTGACCTTTTCACGGCTCTTTAACCTCGTCCTTTCGTAAGAGATCGGCCCTTCTCGAGTCATGGAACGACAGCTCCAATTCCCCACGGGATTCAGTAGCCCGGACACTTAGCTCCTGGATTTCTAATTGGCTCGGACTGGAGTTGGCCGGACCCAGCGAGATGGAGTCCAACGTAGTATCCAACTCCAGTATTCTGTGGGGTTCAAGTTGCACGCGCAGCAAAACTTGGTCACCTCATGCTGATCCTACACAGATATAAGAACCCCAGAAAATCTCCGCAAATTTTCGTTTCCCCAACTCAATCCCCAGATTCAGCTTCAACCTAAGAATCGATTCAATTATCGAGCTTCAATATGGCTGGTGACCAAATTACTGGCGAGGAGCAGCTTGCTGCAGCACCCGAGAAGGGTGTCTGGCGCCAGTTGCGTGAGAACCCTTACATTTTCGGACTCTCTATTGTGAGCGGTTTCTTATCTTAGCTTTATCAGGACTGACACTTCGTAATTAGTTTGCTAGTCTTGGTGGCTTCCTCTTCGGCTACGATCAAGGCGTCGTGTCGGGCGTGTTGACCATGGAGTCGTTCGCCGCTGATTTTCCACGAATCTACCTTGACAGTGGCTTCAAGGGTTGGTTCGTCTCAACTTTGCTTCTGTGTGCGTGGTTTGGGTCTCTCATCAATGGCCCCATTGCCGACTACATTGGTAGAAAGGGCTCGATCCTCCTAGCAGTTGTCGTCTTTACTATAGGCTCAGCTTTTCAGGCTGGTGCCGACTCTATCCCTATGCTTTTCGCAGGTGAGTAGCACTGTTCCTTGCACCCAGTCGCTCCTCCTAACACAAAACTCAGGACGTGCTGTCGCTGGTCTCGCAGTTGGCATGTTGACCATGATTGTGCCCATGTACATGTCTGAGGTATCAAGCCCCGGCATCAGAGGTACCCTTGTTGTTCTGCAGCAACTGAGTATCACTCTCGGCATCCTCGTGAGCTACTGGCTAGAATACGGGACCCAATATATCGGCGGCCATCGATGCGCACCCGATATTCCATACACAGGTGGTACTTCCGACAAACGCACGTTCGATCCTCGATACGATGTCGGTCCCAATGGTTGTACAGGACAGTCCGAGGCTGCTTGGCGAGTCCCCTTTGCCCTCCAAATCTTCCCTGCGCTTGTTCTGGGCATTGGCATGATATTCTTCCCTGAGTCCCCACGCTTTTATCTGATGCGCCATAAGGAAGACAAAGCCCTTGCCGCTCTGGCTCAACTCCGTCAGGTTCATGTTGACTC